CTGCAAACTTTAATTGATTTAAAACGGGGATCTATGAGTGCCCCCTCAGGCCGAAAGAACTCGACTGACGTAAATGTTTGCTACAGACGGTTCTGTTTCCTCGAAATGACACAGAATACGAAATAAAGGAAAACATGCTTACATTAGTATTGAATTCACTGCCAGAAGGAGAATATGTTTTATAGAATTTATATGTTAACAAACGCTGTAATGCCTTGATGAAAAAAAAAATAAATTGCGTTCTTCATTGAAGTAGACACGCGAATGTAAAAAAGAGAAATTTTCATCACTAATAAATATACCGCCATCAATGTCAACATCCCACAATACCAACGTAAAGTGCGTCCTGTCAGGAGATATGTTAAGTGTACTGACAGTAACAACGCGCTGAGTTAGCATATCAGACAGGAAATTTACTTCAGACATTCATGTTCTAACACCTCCATGGAAACCAGTTAATTTATATCTATTATCCACTAATTCCTGCTCGATTAAGTAAGCAATATCTTCGTACTTGAAACTCCGTGCCTCCTCCCGCAATTTCTGTTAGACATACACACATCCGGAAAAATAATGTACAAGATTGTATAATTTTACAAAATGAGGAATATTCATGGACATCAGAAACGTCAAATGTCGTAATCTTAAGCGTGTAGCTGCGCGTTATAATTACTACGCCGTTTGTAAGTCAAGTCGAGTCTGCATGAAGATGTCTATCTTCTGGGATCTAGGGCTGCATTCCAGGAGACAGCCATCTTCATACTCGTCGCCGTTAAATCCAGATGATTCTAGATATCTTTATAGAAGCGACAATGTCACTATACAAAACACAGCTCTGTATCTACTGATCTTAACACGTACATGTAATTGCCTTCATTATCAAGATAAATACTGTATTTCTGTAACATTATCATCATATTAAAAGCGAAGTATATAGTTCTGATAACGCGAAATTGTGTTCAAATAGTTGTATCGAAATCTAAGTAGCTTTATCACACTGTTGCTCTCATCAGGCCATCCCTATGGCGAGCCGAAGTAACATTGTGACAGTTGGAGTAACTTCAGGGACATTTTATGTCTCTCCGTAAGGCAGGAGACACGACCCGGCCACAAAATCTCTTAGTGCAATATTTTATGACTCGTTATCACGACAAATTCAATTTTGTTTATGTTTATGTGGACAAGTAATGCGTGTTGCATGTGGTGAGGAGCCAAACCTACAACCACTGTGACTCATCTGTACATAGAAGAAAGATCCCAAAGTCACTGCTGTTACCTACGAATTCTATGGAGATGTTCATGCAAAAATAATGTGTTATAGATGGTGGGCCTTCGAGGAGGAAACCGAAATCACTCTGTGACAACCAGTCCAACCGCAGTAAGCTTACTTCCCGTTGTGGTTGCCGATACTACCAGTAGAGTGTTTACAGAAAAACTTGGTCCAACATAAACTTCGACGTAATAATTATCGCTCGTGCTAAGTGGAGCCTGGGATGTCCTTTTCGAATTAGTTATTAATAACGATAGCCTACATGATGATATTTTCATCTACAGCCAGTGCGTGTAACTGGTGGCTGTTAAACAATTTTGAACTACAGAATTTTGTTCGCGGTCACTTAAACTTCATCAATCGTACAAGTGCAAAGAAATTACCGTAATTAGTGTGTAGGTTATACGTTAGAAGCGATCAAACAGAAATACAAGTTGAAACTAACAACAAGAAAAACACCAAAATGAGAGATAATGATTTGTTTCGTCCCAAGCTCTTAAAAACGAAGAGATATTTGACGTTTCATGGTGGGGCATAAAGACCAGACTCAGACACATAAATCGCGAAAAAGCTTCGAAATGCTTATCTACAACTCATGAACGCACAAGTAATACACACAGTGGAGCCAAAACACACACAAAAGACACATTAATGATGGTGTTAAAGACCTCGTCTCTAAAGACTCGATGAAGAAGATCCCGAAACGAAGTCACTGCTCTTAAAAACCATCGCAATTACAAAATGTTGTATATAATAAAACAGGGAATTTTACAGTCGTTACATAAAACATTTTTTTTTACTGCGACTCTATAAAGCTCCTTCACCCAGCAATATAATGTGACAATACATGACTGCTAAAAATCAACGGGTTATGTATGCTTTAGGGTCCGACCTCAAATCGCCCACAGGAACTTGTCATGCGCGTATTCTGCTAATGGGAACATCAGATTATCACTTGAAGATGTACTCACCTTGGGATGTCCCCAATCTTCGGAGCTCGTCCTCTGCCCCGACATGCACCCTCGCCCCAAACACACGAAGCCGCTGTAACAAATAATAACAATGAGGTAATCCCAATATATATATTGTACATAAAAATGTACAGCTTCTTCACTTTACAGTAAAGACTGACAGTCGAATCAGCTTGCCTTCTTGCACTTTAATTAACACTTGAGTCAGAATTGAAATAAACCAAACGTATCATAAAACACCACACATTGCTTTAGGCTATCTACACCTAAGCGGTGCTGCCACCTCAGAAGTTAACATGGTCTTCGTGTTGGAACTACTCACGATATGAAATAAAATAGGACAAAGGTGGGACAAACCAGAATGGCACGGTATTTCTAACAAATTTAATACAAATCGGATCACTTTGTTTTAAAAGAAATTAGTACGTATGTGGGATGCATGGTGATTTAATAAGCGTAGCTAACTTCGTGTAGCAGAGTCGTTTTTAAGAAGCTGCCAGTCATTCACCTCGTCAATAAATTCACCGACAACGCATTAGTTTGCCTTTCTTTACAATATTAGAAAAAATAAATTAATACCACTGAATCGGAAGAATGATTTATATAAGAAAATAATAATATATACGAAGGCCAGACTAAACTTCGTATTGCAGTCGTGAGACATCTACGGAAAACGTAAATTCTCTCGCTCATCTTCCCTCTGAAACGCAAGCTGACTTTTATTCCTTAATTCTATTCCCTCTGCAAGAGGCGAAAAGCGCTCGTCTGCTGAAAACTAATGGAAATCAATCATCGCTCTAGATGATCCCTCGGGTAGAATTCCTGAATGCGTTACTGAGAGAACAAAACGATGAGAGAGGGTGAATTACAGTCTACGCCTAACGCGGTTGGCGTCTGTTTGAGCCGCCTACAAAGCGTTCAAAAAGCTTACTTTAGAAAGGAGAGAAGCAAAGGCATTGATGAAGACTCAGACATGACGGGAGTACAGAATGACAACAAATTTGCGTGCGGGAAAAATGTTTCGTTCGGTTCATTGCAGGATTTTAGGTTCTCGCGGCTGTGAGTAACGGATTCTGCTGTCTTACGGGTTGTAGCGCCGTGCAATCAGGTAGTATTAATATATTACATTAATATTTGTCTCATAACTAAATACTGGCAGTCGCACGAATGTATTTCTTCTTATGTT